AACCACAGGTTTAGCAATTCCCAATTTCAGTGGATGAGGTTTTTACTACCCCAGAAATCCTGTTCCATCAGAATATTTGCCTCCTGAATTTACAGTGATTTTGTACAACTGCATTACATGATTTAGTACCTCTAGTATTCAGTCTGCCCTATTACATGATGCCTCATGATGTACAAGGTTTGGAATGTTGCCTCCTAGTCACAAAAGAAAAAATATTCCTGTGACTATAATGCATTGTTAGTAAATTGTAGTTCATGGGCAACAGGCTATTTCTTCCCCCAAATGAATAATTATTCAGTGTTAACAGGAACTTGACATGATCAGCAGCTGCCTTCAACTGTCTGCATAACAGAAATCAGTCAATTGTTTATCAGACACCCATTAGCTCCCTGAACAAAAAAGGAAAATAAACCACAAAACAAACTTGACCTACCTCTCCATTTAATGACAGAAGCTGACGTGGAGCTCCATCCATGTGTCCTGAGCCAACCACTCTTCAAACCCATGTCCGTCAGTGCAACCAGTCTGTTCACTTTATCACCCTTCAGTCACCAATTCCAACCAGGATTTAAACCATCAAGCAGAAAAACTTAAGACACCACTTTTAACCTTGACTCATATTTGATAGTTATTTTTGTTAAAGCTCATTAGCTTTGGTGAACTGGGCTGGCCGTTAAACCAGCAGAGATGTGCAGCCAACCTTTGTCAAAAGGATCCTAACTCAATAAAAATAAGGAACTTCAATACAGCGAAATGAAAAATGTATGTTTCATCACTATTCTGATTATTTTCCCCTCTCAAGATTTGGGGCAGAACACGGGGATGCAAATTAGAACTAAATGAAAAATGACAAAGCTACCTTAGGCACACAGAGTGACTGATAGCTTTCAAATTTAGGATTGATTAAACAAAGCAGTGGCTGTTTCCTGTGGGTTAGAGCTCTCTGTTCCAAAGCCCTACAAATGCCTGGCTTTGCTCAGAGCATTGCTATTTTAGAACCAAAGGCTTAAGTAACTCTTCCTGCTGCTTGTTCAGCATCTCAGTTATGTGAGGGGAGTTTAGGCACCCACCCTGCTTATATACACACCAGATATTTTGCCTTTTTGTCTTTTTGTCACCTAAATGTCATTTGAATTTTGGTCCCAGGGTACAAGGTTTCTTTGAGTGACTTTCCCCCTCTGCCTGTTTGTTAATATCACATTGGGGGGGTAAAAAAACCCAAATATTTTGTGTTTTTTTTTCAGTGCTCATAAACCCAAAGAGTTCTGTAAGCATATTTAAAAACTAAACTAAATCAACATTTTCCATTCTTGCATAAAAAGGAGGAATCTAAATAACCAGTATTGATGGCACTGCAAAGAGACAGATATTTAAAGTATTACAAAATATTTTGGCATCCTGAAAGTCTGACATGATGTTAAATGTTAAAGGTGCTTCCCACATTCAGCATAACATTAAAATAATGACCCTCTAACTGTACGAAATGTGAACTGTCAGTGACAACAGGTTTTCAATAAATCGTAGAAAAACAGAAACATTAATTAGTTTTCTAAATAATTCAGTATATATTAAATGTTTACTTTTAGAACTTGAGAAACTAAAACTAATAACAAACCTTAGACACCCATTCAGATTTTCTTAGGTCATTCAGCATTTGCTATTTGGAACAAGAACCCAAAAGCTGCCTTTTTTTTTTTTTTTCCTGAAGGAAGAAGAACCTCAGTTACTCACAAGTGTCACAGCAATTTCTTGCTCTTTCAGGGTTTATTTTTTTAAGTTCCCTAGAAATTTAAAAAAAAAATTGCAAAGAATTAAGGTTTCTGTCACTCAATCACTTTGTCTCTTTACAAAATTCAAGAAAAAGCACATGAGCTAAAAAAGACAATTTTGTTTATTAGCTTTTGTCCTTGGAAGAAGCCTCTGTGCGTGAGTATGATGTCAAAAGGCCCCTGGAATTTGGCTCACTGATCTGGCTGCTGTCCATTTGAACATCTAATGGCTGGGGGGGGATGTCTTTTTTTATTTTACACGTATCAACATCACAGTTCATTTCTCAAGGCAATGAAAAAAAAAATGCTTGATATGAGTCAACAGCCAATTCCAATTTAACCCTCAATAAAAGTCTATTTTTGGCAGAAGGTTTGCCTTTCTTTAAAATTACTATAACCACGAGTTAAAAACCACTTCATAATGAGGATTAAATTGTTTCATACCTGTGGCAAAGCTGTTTCTGTTCACTGAGGGTTTGAATCCTTCAAGACTGATGATAGGCAGGCAAAGAGCAGACAGAAAAGCCAATTTTCTCTTGGAATTTAAGCAAGACCTTGTCCATCTCCTTGAGTAACTTGTCTCTATTTTTCCAACCAGTGGCAGGAAATCTTCAGTTCTACAGCTGCTGTCTATACTCTTGATCTCCACATGCCTCATCCTCACCACAGCACATCTTGAGCATCCTTTTAGGATTAAAAAAAAAATGCACTGCTTCCCTGAGTGCACAACAAGGCACTGCATTTCATCATTTCCAGCCTTGCTAATGGCTCAGGCCATTACAGAACAGCCTGCCTGGAAAAACAGGGTACAATATCCAGGTACTTTGTGAGACAGATCTACTCTTTATGCTGATGACAAAGGCAGGACAGACTTTCATTTCATAAAGAAACTAAGGATGAAGTAGCCTATAAACAAAATACCTTCAGAGCAGCAGTTAAATCTGAACAAAGAGGGCTGCAAGCCCATACTCAGGACTGCCAAACCCAGAGGTTGATCCAAGGGCAAGGAATTCTGGCAGAAGGAGATTCAAGGTTGGTATGGAAGAGCAGAGCACAAGTTTGAGATGAAGTTTTGCCAACTTCCACGTGGAAGCAGTGCCCTGATTCACCATGAGTTTATGTAGCCCCTGTCCCCAGTCCATCCAACACACACTGACATTCCTTCCATCCCACACAGACTCCTCACTGTCCTCGTTCTTCCTTGTCTTCTCCCACTCCTTGATCAACACCACAAGGTGACCCTTAGGAGAACAGCGACATCTCAGCAGTTGGGTGTCCACAGGGTTTTCAGGAGAAGGAAGTGGTTCAACAGTCTCACAGGTATTCACTTCCAAAAGACTCTCCAAATTCTGACCAGGGATTGCACTGGAAACCTGTGTCCCACCCCCATCTCCCCTTTCAACACCTCCCATGGGAAGACAGGCTTTGGCTTGGGAGAGCAGCTGTTCTTTGCCCACTGATGGTGAGCACATGTTGTAGATTCAGATTAAGATGTGGTGTTGAAGCTGTTTAATTACATTTACACAACATGCATCTGTACCTGTACCTGGCTCTAAGGGAGCTGCTGCACATCCACACTCCTACCAATACCCAAAGTTACCCCAAAACAGGGAACATCACAGCAGCAGAGATCAGCTGCTGTCAGCAGGTTTTATCTCCCCAACACTGAACCAAAGTTCCCAGCTGCTTCCACAAATATAGATATTGATAAAATGATATAGACAGGAAATAAATCCTGCTACTCACTTAAGCACTTTTTATTATTAGAACGATGATGTTCATTTTAAGACTCGGTGACAAATCCTGTTTGGTACATCACCACCTTATTAAAAACCTGGGACACGTGCAGAGAATGTTAAATTATATTAAGTAAGCTGTTAACTTGACAAAATCCAGGCTGCTGCTTTCTGCCTGACTAAGCTGCAGCAAAGATGGCACGTTGTCAAGGGGTGGGAAACATCCTCTCCTTCCTTGCCAAAGCTCCAGATCCAGTTGAAACTGCAAACAGCAAAAATCAGTAAGGTGTCTGTCACATCAAGAACTCAGCCATCACACTCCACTCCAGACCCACGTACATGCATCAGTTTTTGGGGTGTGACTGCCACCCAACTGCAGGAAAGAAATGGACACAGTCATTCCAACTCCCTTGCCTTGCCTATATTCCATTTATCCAGCTCAACTGATGCTGAACAAGAAGGCAGCTCCAGAGCAAAAACAAAAAAAATGCCTCAAAGTGACAGATATTGATGAAGACAGAATTTACAACTTTTTGATTAGTAATCAAAAGCAGCACAAAGTTGTTCTGCACATAAGACAGAGATCTGACAGCAGTGCCAGGGCACCGGGTGGCTCCTGCCAATGCAGTCCCACATGGCATTGGTGGTTCCAGCCATCCGCAAAAGATTGGGAATAATAAAGGAATGCCAGAGTCAGATCTTTAAACATCTTGGCATTAACATCATTATTTGAGCATTTTCACTTGTGCCACAGGAGGGCAAGTGTAGAAACCCCAGTGTTTACCTCCAGTAATTAAAACACCCTTCAAGGGGAACCCTTTGCAAAGCATTTTAGGGAATGAAGGTTCCAGCTATGGTCTAAGAGCAGGGCAATGCCACTTTCTACTCTGTACCAGGCTCCTTTGGAAGATAAAACAGATCCAGTACCTCCTGTCAGAAGGATTCCACCACAACCTGTCATTCTAAGCACCAATGAAAAAAATGAAGTTTATCTTTTGTCACTACATCTGTGAATGATTACACTCACACACAGAGTTCATACGGCCAAGCTATCTGCAAACTCCAGGTAATTGTTCCTTTAATTTATAGTCATCCACCTATTCCAGGTAATCTATTTCAGCAAATAGACATACTCTGCTTGTTCATTGAAGGGTTTTTTAATGTGAAGAGAAACGGAAGCTTCTGACTAACCACGCGTGACTGCTTAACTACGTTAAAATCACCGTATTTTCAGCAGTTTCTAAGCTGTTCACACCGTCCAAAAAAAGCCTCAGCACTCAAGTCTTTGAACAGTTCACCCAATAAAGCTGATGTTGTGCACCAGGGGTTCTGGAGGTTTCTCTTCAGCTGCAGCTGAAACCTGGCAGGATTCATCTCCTTTTGCCCAGCATCCTGAGCCTTGCAGGAAAACAAGGCCAAAAAGAACAACCAACCTCAGGTCTTGACAAGCAAAGCTTCTTCCACTGGTCTGACTTCAAACAGGGACGTGACATTGTTTTGACATACGAGTCCCATCTGTGCACCACAGAACGATGATGACAAAAGTATGATGCAAAGTCTTGTTAAGCAGTCACCCCAAATACAAAGAGAGCCTACAGAAGCTTGATGCAAAAATCCAGAAAGAGTCCAGGGCAGTGCTTGGGCATCGCTAAAGATTTAAGGACTACTGGGGATCATGTGGCCAGCCACAAACGGCCTCATCAGAGGTCATGACATTGTTCTGTGCTGCTGGGAAGAGCGAGCAGCCTGACACCCCTCAGCAGAGGTTTGGTGATCAGTTAAAAAAACCAAAAAAAAAAGGCCCAGGGAGGAGCTCCCGCTCACGCAGCCGATCGCCGGCGGATCACGAACACGCCTCGCTGCAGCTGCCCCAGGTAGATCCTCATCTTTGTGCTGTCGCTGGTTTTCCTCACCCAGATCTGCAGGAAAGAAAGAATATAAAAAATGGGGCGGGGAGATAAACTGGGGGTAAAAGGGGAGCACTCACAGTAAGCAACACACAGACCAATAAACTTATTGTCAGAGCTGAACACCTCTGTTACTCCCCTGTTACTCGGGTTAATCCTTTCTCCCTCCCCACATGAAGCATTTGCAACCTGAGTAGAACATGAAATAAGGTTTTTAACTTTACCTCCTTAACTTCCTGCTCGGAACAGTCCTCAAGAAAAATCACTCCTTCCACGCACCATCAGGAAAGCAGGTTCCTTTCTGCTCCAGTTCACAACAGAACTGTGGCATTAAGCTTTGCCTAATCAAGAATAAGTCTCCCTAGATCCACAGATCATAAAATTACCTACCCTGGGATTTGCCCAGGCAAGTAACTATTAGTCAAATGAAAAGCTCATCCTGACTCTGTTCCGTGAAGCATTTCCCACAATGTATTACAGAAGTGGTATCTGAAGACAAAAGGGCCTCTCTTTTAAAACACCTGCATGGAAGAATTCACACGACACGTTCCAAAGGACAAACTGCTGCCACTCCAGAGAATTTTTTAAATCTCTTTCAAGATGTTTAGATCCAAAACCTTGTACTTTAAAAATCAAGTCTGAGCAATCTCCTCTGCTTTATGTCATTCTAATGCATTTAAACATATTTAAATACGTGCATGAAGTAAGAATTATCCAGCTCTTAGTACTGGAGTATTTTATGACAGAGGTCCAGTATTTCCTACTGCAAAGGATTATAAAGTTATGTTGGCCTTTGATTTATTCTAAATTATTTTTTTAGCTATAGTAGCTATTAACTCTATTATTTTAATTATAAACTGACTTTATCAATAGGAGCCCTCAGTATACAATAAATTTAATATTTGCCTGTGTTTGTACTTCAATTATTTCCCCAGAGAAATTAAAATCAACATTAATTGAGAATCAGCTGCAACATTACCAAGAATTTGGTATGTTTTGCTTGCCAAAAGAATTAAGAATTTCTGAGCAACTGTACAAAACAACAAACATGTACAATTTTACATTTTATCACGATATGATGGAATGGTAGATTAGTTTTGCTAAAATTAACTGCTTTGTTAAGTTCCACTTGGAGCAATATTAAAGTTCAGGTTTAAGTGACCACAACAGTGCAGTTACTTAACATTAAAATCTGCCACAGTGTTCAGAAAAATAAACACATCAAGACATATTCTGAACTTAAAACCGATGTTTCAGACACACAATATATTGTGCCATCAGAGAAGAGCATCTGTTAATCCTAAAACTGAAAGAGGTGGGAAATAGGAACAACCAAAACAATTTCTGATTTTTTTTTATTCCTAGACTTCAAAAGAAAAATAAGCTTCCTCCTTTTTTTCAACTTCAACAAGCTGAGATTTCTGAATAAACTAATAAAAAATAACACTTTCCTGCAGGTACTGAAAAGGTTTTTTTGTCAAAAAGCACTAGACCAGGTTGCTCCAAGCCCCATCCAACTTAGCCTTGAACAATTCCAGGGATGAGGCAGCCACGGCTTCCCTGGGCAACCTGTGCCAGGGCCTCCCCACCCTCACAGGGAGGAATCAATAGATTGCATTTCCCTCATGGTTTCAGGTAAGGTGCTCCCAAAGAATTCAGTTTTAATGTTATAAAGTAACAGTAATAACTTTAATCAAGTCAGCAGCACTACATTTAGCATCCATTTGCACACTACCACTACTTTATCTGAACTATCAACTGCTGAGCACCACAACTGTTACTGCCAGGGGAACAGTTGTGATACAAACATATCCCATATGCAACTCGTTCTGAAGAAAATAAAGTATTTTCCCTCAGCTGCCACAACAAATTAAAGTTCCTTTACTGGCTGATTGAAGAGAAGTGCACTCAAGTCTATTATTTCTTTCCCTGAAGTGTCTGGAATCTGCAAGCAAAGAATAAACTGCTCCCTTTGCCCAACTGCTGCTCCTGCAGCCAGACTCACATCAATCTTGGGCACGGAGCTCTTCACCTGCTGCTCTAAGGCTTCAGCAGCAGCCACAAGGAAATTGCCTCAGACAAATGACTGGCCTGCCCCATCTCCCAGGGAGGTGATGGATGCTGCCAGAGAGCTTCTCAATTAGCAGGGAGAATCTTCTTCCCTCACAACAACTGAATTTGGTGACAACGTTTTTTCTCATCCTCCTCTGCATCCCCAATGGAATTTCTTTTAATCCTGCATTAACAACTGTTCTTGAAATAACAGAAATGGAATTTATGAATGTAGTGCCAATGAGATGCAACATGTCAGTTCTACCCATTTTTCAGGCTACCACTTGTAAAATGTAGGATCATTCTTTAAAAACAGAGCAAGTGTCTTCCCATCTCAAAAAAAGAGATTTCTCAACTCGGCTTTATCTCGGATTCAGCTTCTTTACACACTAAATATGTATCTTTGCTGAAAGGTTCACTCTTAGTCCTCACTGGACCCATGTCCTCCCCCCCTCTGCTGAAAAACAAAAGCAGCCCACCACCTCGTTGGCGCCCACAGAGCTGATCACACAGCTGATCTTCGTGTTGTCTTTAGACTCCAGGTAAATAGCCTGGCTCTTGTGGTACCTGCAGAAAGAAAAAAGGGAAAGGAAACACATGAAACCACTGGTGATAAAGCTGGGATTCCACGTGCATCTGGACAGAGTCAGTCTGAAGTCTGTCTTTCCACACCACTTTCTCCATCTTCGCAACACAGCGAGTGCTCCGGTTCTACACACCCACACCTTCCCTTTCCTGGTATTTTAAAATGCATGATTCACATTCAACTCTACATGCAGGCTACTGAAAACAGGTTTCACATCTGCAAGAGGAAGGGGCAGAGCACCAGCCACAACACAAGAGAACACTGACTGCCTTTCACATTGCAGACACGGGATGGATTTCGGAAGGCAACTCCATATTATGCCTCGTAAAATACGACAGAGGAAGTCACAGATACTCAAGAGTTATTAACATTTCCCAATACAAAATTACCAGTGCACCACCACCACCACCCAAAGTGAATTATCCTCAATCAGTGCAGTTTGTGTGTTGTTTAACAAGACCTCAAATCTCTAATACTGTTTTATTTTGTGAAAATACCCAAAACTGATAAGTGATGAGTTTCTGACCCCATAACAAACTGTATATACCTGCCATTAGGAGCCTGTGACTAAACATACCCATTTCCCCCCCCTTTTTTTTTAAGCTATGTATTGTTCTTAATGTGTTGTGTACAAAACAAAGACTTTGAAAGTCATAACTCTGAATTACTTGTTTCCAGGGACTTGCCCCCTTCACAGCCCACATTTCTCTAAGTGCTGCAGCCAAACCCCCCCAGTTTCTGTTTATTCTGCCCAGGAGAGTTCTGTAGGCAGAACTAATCACACTGAAACAGGTGATTTGTAAGTAAATAATCAAGCAAGCACCAAAATCCTTTACAATCATAAAAGCATAACTGTATTTCCACCTTTACCCTAATCATGATGTGCTTCATATTTATCAGGGCAATCCAAGCTGCAGAATCACTACACAGCTACTCCCTCAGTAGCTACTCAGTACAACTCCTGCAGTCTGAACACCATTTGCAAAATGCATGGATTTATTTAATCTTTACAGCTATTTCTAAAATAACCACGCTGTAAATATGGAAGTCTTCCCATGGTTTATTCCACAATGTCTTCCTGCTGGCTCACGTACTCAGAATTTTCACACTGCTTGCCAGTAACTAGAATGAGTGTCAGCTTTGAGCCTTCTAAACATACTCACTACCCACAGGCTGGGTGAGGTAATAAAAAAACCCCAAATCCTGCAACCTTTTGACACCTGTGCCCGACCATTGCTCTTTCTCCTTCATTTTAACAGAAAGGATGTCAGTGGGTTTCAGGACAATGCAACAGCAACAATGACGTTAAGCCAAAAAAATCACAGTTTAGTGAGTCCAGATGTCATTAAATGATACAAAGGAACTGAATAAGCTACTACAAACGCCAGGCCTCACTAAGATAAGACAAAAATCTCAGTCCAGCAGTGTCCTACCATGCTGTGAGTGCTTAAGCAAGGAGAATTGATGATCTTGATACAATCAGTATCAGTGCAGAAGACACCAGTGCAAATGACACCTCTCAAGTGTTATCTGTGCCTGCACAGATAATGAAATATTTTTCCCCCACTCGAAGCTGTTTCTTTCAATTTTTGATTACCACACGTGGCACAGGCTTCAGCCCTCGGGTTTCACATCACGAGTTACCATCCATCAGTAAATGCACGTTAATTGTGCAGAAGGAAGGCAAGGGAACAAGTTGGCTCAGCACTGTTTCACTGAGGAGTCGTCTCACGCTCTGTGCACGCACAGACAGGTCAGCTGAAGGCACAGCCTGGTACCTGTTCGTGCCTCACCCTTGTGCCAAGCTTATACATCCACAGAGGGGCAGAACTCAGGAAAACACTCCAGATGAAATATGCAATGGAGTTTTAAGCTGGCTTTCAAGAGAGGGGAAAGTGCCAAACAACTCTTGTGTTGCAGTGATAAAACGCACCACAGCGCTCACAGGTGAGACAAGCAGAAACAATTCCACTTCCTGCTATAAAATATTTTGCTGAAGGGCCAAGATTTTCAGCTGGAACTCCATCAGGAGATTGAAAGAAATCCCTCTACATTATTGAAGGCAGCAAAGCTAAAAGCAAAAAAAAGATGGTTGTTTTACAGTGAGCTGTATTTTAAGATTCGATGGAGGAGCACGGAGCAAACTGACTGAGGATAAAAAACTGAATCTAATTCCACATTCATCTGAAACTCTCCACTTTGGAGACTTATTTGTGAAATATCTCTGCAAAGCCTTAGGGGGTCCTTAAACATTCAGTGCTTTCAGATAGCAGTCATGCACAGCTGCATCAGGAAACAGAGAAAGTCACTTCTGAGCTGTCAGGTTTAGCATTTCTGTGCATGCCAGCACTCTTAATGCACCTTAGAAAGAATTACCCTCCCACTATCGAGAGTTACTTCATTATTTTAAAACAGCAGCTACTTTGGAGAAGTTCTATTACTATCAATCAAAAAAAAAAATCTAAGCAGGATTATAACAGCCAAAAAATGTAAAATACTTAACTTAAAACAGCATTAAGAACAAGGTAGATAGGAAAGACAACATCTGGAATTCCTGACAGTGAGACCCTCATGACAACTGAATTCAGCTAGATGAAAATATTTGTTAGTGCTTTATGTCCCAACTAGATACCCTTCTGAGAGAGTTGGTGCTTTTGTGAGATTCATCTGGGCTCGCTGAGCCTCTTCCAGGTTTAAATTTAGTGGGAAGTGGGGAGCTTTACTGGCAGATTACTTCAGATTCCATTTTTTTTCCTTTTTTTTTACTAGTGAACACTTTTCAGCACCCCACACACTAAAAATTCTGAAGAACAGTTGACTCGTCCAAATATACCCCGGAGATAATTTTTTTGTGTGTGTAAAGTGACTATGAAAGCAAAAAAAAGAGAACTTGATGAATTTGTGAAGCCTGTTCAGTTCACATCTGCTTTATGCTTCATGGACATTTAAACCCAGGCAGCAGCTTTTATCAGAGCTATGTACACTGAACCCTTGATGAAACATCACAGTCAGAAGGGAAAAGTGACCAACTGTACAAGATGACTCTTGTGTGGAAAACAAGCTTCACACCTGTCATTTTCTGTGATAAAACTACAACCTCATCACTTGTTATTTTGAGCCACCAGAACACTGAAGAAGGTTACAAACAAGCAAATTGCTTTCTGCTCAAGGAGAACAAGATTGCCCCCTTGATTATCCAGGTTTGCATGTCTCATGGATTAAGTTTAAGACCTACTAAGATTTCTCTGCAGAGTTTAATATTTTCCTTGTGTTTTGTGAGGCTTGTACAGCTGTACAGCCATAAAACTCAACAGAGCTAAATCCAATCAGCAATTCTGAAGTTGCCTCTCCCAGGTGGATCTGATCTTTAAAGGTTATTTGGATTTATTAGAAACATTTTTCATCCTGCTCTGCTGGTGGATGACGTTTCTTCTGCCACCTTGTGGAATGCTGGGCTTGTGTTCCACAAAGCTGAACCCCTGGAATGTGAATGCTGCTGACACCACTGTGCCCAAAAATCATGGAGTGTCTGGATCCAAGCTGAGCAGCTTCACAGCTCCATCCCACTGTGTCTGCTGCTGGCTCTCTTACCTAATATCAGGTTTGACAAAAATACTTCCTAAGCGTCACAGTGGACATCACTGACTCCATGGGAAAGATTCAGGTCTCCTTTTATTGGAGCCACTAGTTATCCCTCAAACCTACGGGGTCTAAACACTCCACCATCACTTCTGATTTACTGGTTGCAATAATGAGCCCTTGGGGGGAAGCAGCAAACTCTGCCCAAAAACATTTTGTCCACAAATTCTTTGATCAAAGCAATTTCTCTCTGCAGCCTTTTCCTCTTCACTACACAACACTCAGGCTGATTAAAACAGAAATCCCCCAGGCCTCACCATCTCTTATCGTAGTAGAGTTTTCCATCTTCTATCCGGGCTTCAAACCGCTGTGCAGGAGACTCTGCTGGTGTAGCTGGGAGGTGTTCAGGAGAGGAGGGGGAAGCTGAGAACAGGAGAGACACTGTGCTTAAAAAACCAGCATGTGTCCATCACACAGTAGCACATCTGACTGCAAAACTGCAGTTAATAAGGTCATATATGCAGAAATAATAAGCCCAGAAAGCTAAAAACTCAAATTTCCCTCAGAAAAGTATTACATATTGGTATGAATAACTCAACCTCTGCCTTGAATTATAATATTCACTGAAGATTTAACTGAAAAAAACATTCGTAGGTAAGTGATGGACAGTATGTCCTTGGTTTTGTTTTAATTCTAACCCAAACTAAAGTAGTTAAACAGGGTCAGAATTACTTAAGCAAGTTGCTACCACTCTGTCTTGAAATTAAGTGCACAGACACATCTAGAGAGCTGGAGGCATAAAACCCTAAGTGCTCAATCCCTCCACTGACCTGACAAGTAGGCAAGGTGTCCAGATGCACCTGAATATAATGAAAAACCCTCTTTACACAGTTGGATTGTCCCATGTTTCAGCCACCCAAGATACACATCTCCCTTCTCATCCCTGAAAAACGTCAGGGCAGACAAAGAGACTTCACACAGGGCCCGTTCAGCACAGCAGCCACACAAAGAACAGCAATTACACAGTCAAAACAATTATACAGCCAAACTCCACAGTCAGCAATTATACAGTCAAGCATCTACAATATCATTCTCTGCTCAGAACAGCACCACTGTGAGCAAGTTCTAATGCAACTGTTAACTCACCTGGTCTCTTGGGTGATTTAAGCTACATGGGAAGAGAGCAAAGCAGTGTTAGAGATCTGACAGGAGCCTTACAAGCTGCAGTAATAATTTCAGATATCTCACTTTCCATACTCTCAATGCTTCTGTTTTAAATGCACTGTTAAGTGGCATTTCATACAACCAGAGCAGTGTGCTATAAACAGCCAAAGGTGCAGATAATCAGGATCATGATACAAAACTGAACTTGAGAGCATTCAGACAATCCACTCAAATGAGCCAAACCCATCTAACAGACTATATTTTTGAACATGATCCAACATTTGTCAGGGTACACAAAATACAGGAGATAAATCACCAGAAACACCTCAACACCTGGCACAAAACCCATGTTCCACCACCATCCTCAAATGTCTTAATGAGCAGCCCCTAATGTAAGAAACTAGACAAGCTTTCAAGTGTTTAGTGAAAGCAATAGGTTAAGCAAAACTTGAAAAACTATAAACATGCACACTGCCCCCTATTCAATCTGCTGAAATATTGTGACAGCTGGGAGAAAAACAAGTTAATAAAAACCCCCACCTCACACTAAAGCCTAAACCAAAGGCAGCCTGTGATCTCCCAGAAAAACACACTGACACCTGTTCAACCATGCAGAGGAAGAAACTCCTTAACAGGAGCTCATCCCTTGGTTCAGACAAAAGGTAACATTTTTAGATGGCAGTCATTTTAATTAGGTTAATTAAACCTATTAAAATAAAAGGGAGGAGATACCATCTTGCTAAATCTTTTATTGAGCTACTTCAGAAAGCCTACAGGGATGAAACAGTCCCACACCTCAAAAGGGAACATTAAAGAGAGCTCTGTTCTCTTTAGGGGAAAGCAATGGCTTTTTCTTTAAAACAAAGAAATACAATCAAGCAACAATCCCTACCTTATTCAGCGTTCTCAGGTCCTCCATTATTTGCTCATCAGTCAACAAATAATTTAGCTGAGGTATCCAGAATTAAGGTTCCCATAAGCTCTTGACAAGCAAGGCTAAAAATTAAAGGTCAATGACATTTCACTTGACTAAATGTAAGCCAAAAGGTTTCTGTAAATTTGCATAAGATTTTACTAAAGTGTCACACTTGAGCTTTTTTTGTCATAGGAATTAATAGGAGCCAATCTCCACTGAGCCTCATCTTCAGCAGCAAACAGTGCAAAATGACTTTAATTTATTCAGACACAACCATCAATGAAAAACCTTTAGTGCATTGACATTTACTTCATGGAGGCATCAAGCACCAGCATTTTCAGTGCTTTTTGTCTTGTATTTCTGTAGAGAAGAATCTGGGAGCTGGAGCAACAGACTCACTTCAGATTTTGTACAAGGAAACAAACCCCACCCAAACCCAGGGAAATAAAACTCATCAGTAAGCAGGAGTAGAGAGATAGAGAGAAGAGGGGAAAGCCATACAAAATTAAATTCAAAAATTAAAGCCACAGGTACAAGACACATTCTTGTGGGGATGAGGATAAATAAGAGCCTGTAATGCACCTGAAAACAAACCCCAAACCCCAGAACACAGGAGTTAGTCTATTATAGTCTTATTAGAGCTTTGCTGTCCTTTTGTTTCTCCAAAACAGCTGTTAAGTCAAAAGTATTCAAAGTATTAAACTAAAGTTAACAATTGCTAGGCTGCATTTCCAGGATTTTGGTTCTGATGGACTTTAATCTCCCCCCAGTGTGGGTAGGCAGAGAGGGTTTCATACTGTGCCTGCTGTATCATGCTCAATTAGCAGGTCATGTTCACTATGAAACTCATTTATTTTGGATGAGATAGGGGCACTAATAAATGATCATATTTTCCCTGACAGAGTGAACAGAATCTCCAACCAGAAAGAGGTTAATTAAAACTGGAGATGCTTGTGACCATCCTGCATGAACTCCAGGAGTTCAAGGTTTGATACTGCCTTCAGAAAATGCCAGTCACTAAGATAAGTTTTTTCCTAATCTAAGACATACAAGTTTAGAATCTAATAAGAAGCCTCTGCAAAATAAATATCCTTGCCTTCATTTCCAGGTGAATTTAATATACAAATGTAAAAACTGCCTGTCATCACAGAAGAGCTAAAAACATATTTCCAGAAGCCAAGGAACATTTTAATTCTGAGACATGCAACAAGGCAGAACAGAAGGATTACATATACATGTGTTTCTCTCTCGTGAGACATAAAAACAGGATGAATTTTCATCTTTTCTTATTCAAAGAACAAATCTACCACTCCTTGCTTTTGCCATGCATTTTCTGGATTAGGGATCTGAAGCCTTTATCAGAAATGGAAAAACTAGTTTGATATGACAAATATGATCTTCCTGGTGAATGTTTTGTCACATCTTGAAATGAGAAAAGCTTTGGCTCATGCAAAAAGCCATTTACTATCTACGGAATCAATTATCTCAGCATATAAATATAATGTCCTTTCAAAGTTTTTCCTTTGTGGAAAAAAATTTGTCCGTAGAATTCAAACTATTCTGACAAATATAAAGTTATCTCATGATACTGTAAGGTTTCAGTTAGGATACCAAGGGATCTCCAAACACAGGTTTTTACATACACATATTATAGTATATAACTGCTATATTGGTTTATCACACATTAGACATGACAACTGTGCTTCGTTCTTTCCTAGGGTAAATTTGATCCTAGCATTTAATTTCATTTTCTTTCCTGCACAACACAAAGGTGCAGGTGGCACACTGGCTTCAAATCCAACAGCCTTCCAATGACTCTGTGAAAGGATATCAGGGGCAGGTTTCCTCCTCTTGTCCGGGATGGGAACTGGATCATTTGGTCGTCGCCTCAGTTTCCTTGTCATAATAGGCTTCACTTCCATTGAATCTGGAGAGTAATGAAGTTGGAGAGCTGATAAGACCAGAAAAAAAAGGAGAAAGCAGCAGCAGCAGCTTTCTACACAGGGCACAAGGAAAATAATCTTTCCTCTTTCATCCAGCAAATTGAATTTTTTTTTCTTTTTTTTTTTTTGTGACAGCTTCCAGCACCCGGAGCGGGAAGTGCTGCCGGTGAACACAAGTTCTCTTTGCCATCAGGTCACTGTTCAGTGACTGCTGCAGTGCCATGGTTACAGCTGGCATTTACAGCTGCTCCACGTACAGATAAGCAGCACAATGATGCTACGAGGGTTCCAGGAAAATTTCTTCAATGCTAATTCCATCTGCCTGGGACAGAGCATTTAAAAGGCCAAGTTCGTGGAGCTCTTTGCCAACAAAACTTGGATCATAATTAGCATGTCAAACATCTGCTACAAATCAATTAATGTTTTCTCATCTTCGATCAAGAGAAACAGCTTTGTCAAGGGAATACAGGAAGTTACTGCATTCAAGACTGATACAAGTCTGCTGGAGTGATTTTAAACAAATAGAATTCAAATTCAGATTATCTAAAAATTATTAATGAAATGAACCTAATTAATAACATGCAGAGCAACAGTTGACAGGAAATAAACTGCAGCATATGCACTGGGGAAAAAGCAAAAAAAGTCTGTTTAAAGGTGAAACACCAGTCCCCTCACCAAGGAACTATCTGAAATGGCAGTTTGTCCAAGTGTCTACACGGAGCCTTAACTGAACAACTCCACCAAAACCCTCAGAACTCATTCCTTAATTTATGAAGATATGTTGAACTGGCAACCAAGAGACCACATCTTCAATGCCAAACACATCATGTCCCCTCTCTTTGTATGTGCTGAGATTTATTTGCTCATCTTTAGGTACCACTACTATCTGTGAAGCCCCTTTGGCTCCCTCTAGATGCTGAAACCTTGAGCAGCTCTGCATGTGCAAAATACACCAAATTCCTTGTCTCCTCATCTCAAGGGTGAACAAGGATGACTACTAGACCAGACTTCATAATTAAAAAAAGTTATCAGGGGAACAACATAACTCAAGCTGTCTGAGTTATCAACAGTTTGTACCAAGCCAAGAGAACTCCTGAAGATGTCCAAACAAGGTTTAATTCTCACTTCTGAGCACTAATTGGATTATTAGCTTATATAACACCTGTAGATACTATGCAAGAAAGATGTGAAGGGTGCAACTCATGGACAGGCCTCAACAAGGAAACCACTATCTATGCAGGAAGTGAGGGAGTTGCTCTCAAAATGAGAAACAAATCAGACTTTTGGTTCAGGATCACAGCAGTGCAATTCTGCAGGAGGTTAATTACCCCTCAAATTAGCTCCACTGTGTCAATTACTACAATGAGCACTGCCAAGGCAGCAAAGGCATCAACTGCTCTCAAAGAAATCTGTCCATTTAATGTAAATTTTCCAGAGTCTGGACACAAAAGCAGTTCATAAATCTATTTTTCTGGTTTAAAGTAGAATATTTCAACGTTTATTGTCTGCCTTTCTTCAACTACTTGACACCTACTACTGTAGGAAGAAAAGGGCACAGTTTACAACCTGGCATCACTGCTCAGGTCAGTACTGTGACATATCTCAATAGTTTTATTGCCAGATCACAGGAACTAAATCAGCCCATTTCCCTGTCTATAAGAAAGCCCATCATCCACTCTGCTGCTTGACTGGCACTGTTTGATTCACCTGTCAGCAATTCAGGTCACTCAATTTTATTAGGAACTGCTTTCTCCATTAAAAGGCCATCAATTTGTGTTCTACCCTCCTGGCATTTCACACCAGTTGTCTGTATAAACCACCATTGCCACCTTTAGAGCTTTTTCTCCTAAGCAGCAGCAGAGTGGATAAGATAAGTGACAGCTGCTTATCTTCTTCTTACCCCCTGTTAATTCCATGGTTAGCTTTTCATTCTCAATCATCTTCTTCTTCTCTTCCAGCTCCGCAATCAGATTTTCCTTAAGCTCAATTTTCTTATCTTCAAACTCCTTTGCTGCTGCCTTCTTTTCCTTCACATAATTTTTCTCCACCTGATCTGTCTAATGCAAACCAAAAGAGCAAGGAGGTTAATTAAGAGACCAATGATTCTAGTTAATGATATCACAACAGCTTTTCAAATGCTGTATTGATCAGCCTTTCGGTTCAAAACTGTAGCGAGTTCTAAAGATTATCAATATTCATAATCAACAGAAAACCATCTAAATATGACTTAGTACTATTATATTGGCTAAAGAGTTAATTATTTTTAAAAAGACATTTTAATGTTGCATAACATATCAAGTCTTCTCAGATTTATAAACAGGACTATAATTTATTGCCCTAAACAACCTTTTTTAGGCAACCCAATGCACAGCCAGACACAACAGCCCAAAAGCAAATATTTAATTCTATTTTTAAAACAAAGTGCAGAAGTTACTTGAAGTAATACCAGCAGTAGGCTGTACTACAACTCCAGTGTAACAAAGCCAGATAGAGGAAGAAAATTTCTTTAAGCCTCCCTGGAAAACAAGCCCAAGTACTGGTTGATGAAACAGGTTTATACCTCTACCACCTATATATATATGAGTAAATTAAGAGTACTTACTTCCAGCTGCAGGAACAGTTCTGAAATGCAAGAAAGACTTACTTTATTATCCTCAAAGATGCACAAAATTACTTCCTTAACATTTTAAGCCACTGAATATTGCAGCCAAGACAGGCAGTGAACCAAATAGTGTATGTACTCATCCCACCTCTACTCTCACTTTTCAGTTTTATGCTGAAAATAAAGTAACCACGAAAAAATTTCACAAAAATATGCTGTTAATATAAGTTATTTACAGACTGCCAGGAAACTGAAAAGCTTGCACAGCAGTATTCCATAATATTCAGTTTGGCTACTACTCCCAGCAGTACTAAGCAGGTAGTTCACCTTTCTTCCTATTAAATTACAATCAATTAAGACTAGATAAAAACTTCCCATACAGGAGCTTGAAACATGCAACTAAATATTCACAGTTTAAGCCAACTTCATGAATTTCAGCAAACACTGGTTAAGAAATAATTCTGCAGCTGTCAGAAGATTGATCTACTCAACTTACACGTGTGATTTCAGCCTCCTTATGCCTGAGAAAACAAGGGAATTGTTGTGTAGCATTGAAGGTTAAGTGCCAACACATGGCAATGATTAGTTCAAGTCAGACCTATGGATGAGGTGAAGGGATTTGAGGGTGTGAAATAGTCCTGCTACTGATGTTTGTGCCATCTCTAACACCTTGAAATTAAGCAGGATTGCATTTCCTAGAGGACATAACGGCCAAAACAGAGTTTTTACTCAAGAGAGTGGCAACAAAAGCAAATTAAGGCACCTGATCACTGTATTTCATCAGCATATTAAGCTTTGGTAATACCTGAAACAGGAAAAGCTTCTGTAAAGACCACAAGCTTCAAAAATATGTTTTGGGAAAGACTGTAGTAGCAACACTGTACTGGTGGGCTTTTTTAAACATGAATTTTAAAAAAAATAAATAAAATAAATACCAAAGACAATAATGGCCCAGTAAAAAAATCAAACCTTTTGTCTGCAAAGAGCTCTACCTGCTGAGCATGGAAGCAGTTGGGTTGTTTAATCACAAAATTGAAAGTTATCACCACCTGCCCTCCTGTGGAAGAAACAAGGTGCTGCAGCACTGGCCTTGGCCAGCCAGAAATACCAGCTTGCACTTAGTCTTAATTTTACCAAAACAACCCAGTATTGCCAGGATGCAGCTCTAGTGCACGTGAAATTCATCTCAGAACACAAATTCCTGTTAACAAGAAGCAGTTCAAATCACTTAAATTACTCAAGAGAATCCTTTATCATCCCAAGCACTTTTAGAAAGACAGAATTCACACTATTCAAAGGTCAGAGTGGGTTGGCCATCATACAACTGCCACTGCCTCTCTGCTGTATTTCCCAGATTAACAGCCCAGGCATCACAGGATTCATCCAACTTCTCTAAAGGAGGAACAGCTACAATTCCTATTCCCACATAATGGCCTCTATAAAAGGCCCTGCTTCAGCATCCAAGATAAGAACCTCCTAGGAAGAGAACAAAAAAGAGAGAGGGCAAGCAAAGGGACCTGATTTCCAAGCTATTCCTCTGCAGTAACACAATAAAGGCCACCCAGAGGGGTGAGAGCTGGGCACTATAAAAATGAACTTGGGCCTTTGCTCCTGGAACAGAGCAGAACACAAGGTACAGGCAGCCCTTTCCATGTCCCAGCTATGCAGAGTAACAGTTCCAGCAGCAAACCCTCTGTATGCATTGTTCTGGGGCACAAAACAGATCTCTGGGAAAGCATGTGCTCCTGAATTCCAGTCCTGCAAACCCAAGGGAACAGGGCACCCAACACCTTCAGCAAGTGGCACAAAACAACAAGCCAAAGTGGGAGCCTGTGGGTTAGGCAGATAAAAATTAAATAACTGTTTCTACTTGTGCTGTTTCACACAAATGAAGACTGTTTATTAGTGTTTAGTATCAGTCAGAAAACAATGCTGATGAGGGGGAAAAAAAATAATCAAGATAGATCCTATCATGCTTGGTAGAATCTGAAACAACTCACACTGTACCTACTGCACCCTTGGAAGCAGAAGAACCCTTGGCTCCAGCAGGTTCCTTTTCTTTAAAGCACAGAATTACCACTTTCTTTCTTCAGGTGTTTTAAAAACCATAAATTTAAGTTGGATGCAGTGTCTTACAGAGAAATTCCACTTACCTGCATTTCGTATCCTTTCTTTGTACTGCTGGTCCAACTTCTTCATTCTTTTCTGGTATTCCTGAAGAGTACCTGGAGTGGAAATAAATTGTAGATTCCCTCTGATTTTTTTCCCCCCCCAAATATTAAATTTTCTAAAGGAGCCATGCACCACTTGAAGCACAAATACTAAAATCTGAGATCAGAAAATTACAGTTCTACCTTGTTAATTTGAAAAAGCATATTCCCTGCTTCTTCAGAAAGTGGATTACTCCTTTTAAGAGATGCTTTAGCACACAGAGGATTAACACCAAGTGTTTAGAGGGGAAAAAGATGGAAGTGGCTGACATTTTTAACTCAGCAGCACAGCTGAGAGCCCACATGCAGTGAAGGATGCAGCTTACATCTTTCAACACCCCCATCCTTCCATGGCATTTGAAAAGTGCTGAAAATTGTCTAGGAACATAAAAAAGCCCCCCTTCAAAGTTTACCTTCCTGCAATTGCTGCAACTGCCTCTTCAGAGATGCCAGTTTGTCCTGATACATCCTGCAAAGACAGTCAGCATGAAACTTTGCTTTGCAAACCAAGCATACAGAGCCTGTTCCACCATCTCTTTAGGTTACAACACGTTGACACAGAATTAAGAACTTTTCAGAACTTCGGGAAACAAATGAATGACGAATTAAAAGAATTTTATTCAAATTCAAAGGTTTTCATTCTGTCTAAAAAAAAAAAACCCTCTGCCACCCCACTGGTTTTATGAACCAAATATTTTGGGAACAGTTCACGATAAAATAGAATTGATATTTATTAATGTTAATATCTAAAATGACATTTAGATCCACAAATTTACAGCAGAATCATTCTGCCACTTGGCCAAGTCTTACTATTTGTATCTTAGCTCCCTACATGTAACACAAGGCATGTCCTCACGGAGATCTTGACATGATTAAAAAAAAACAAAAAACCCCAAAGTCTGTTCCTGGTTCTGTTGCACACCTACATTTCCTTTACCAAGTAAGTATCTGTGGTTTAACACAGGCCAAGCCTTCCTGGCCTGTATAAAAACACGTCACTTCCAGTAAGCAAGAACTCAAAATACTGCAAATACTCCTAAACATCACAGGAAACTACTTCCAGTCTCCAAAAAGCCCATTTCTGGGACAGGACTAGCATTCCATTGTTTAAGGGATTTTGATAGGCATCTTGCTTTTCCTTAGCTTATATAAAGCAGATCCTTTGTTTTATTTAAAGCAGCAGGAGCCATTTGCAGGAAAACTCATAAGTCATAATTATTTCTTTAACCAAAACAGCAGCAGCACTTAATTCCTTGAATACATACAGACCAGAGAAAGTAACTGAGAAGAGCAGAAATACAAGTATATATCTTATGAGCTATTGGGCTAGGCATTTAAAAACCCCAATCTGGGCTCAAAACTCTGCAGTTTTGTGAAAATAACACCCCCAAACCCACAAATAAACAGAATATTACCTTACTTTGGATTAGTGTGGGTTACTTACTGTTCTTTCATTTCTACAAAGTCCTCCTCGTCGTGCTTGGCCAGGTCAGTCTCACTGGCATCCTCGGTGTCTAAAGGAGGTAAAAACTAACTTGTTAAAATTAAAGATTAAAAAAAAAATACTTAAAAACATGGAAACAAGCAAACACAAAACCAATCCCCAAACTTCAGGCAATTTAACCTCCAAGACACAACCTGAGGGGCCTCTGCAGAGGTGAATTCAAGGGTGGAACAAACCCTGTCATCTCCTTCCTGCAAATGGGAGTTTTGCAGTGAAGCTTTACATCAAGTCTGAACAACTCCAACTTCAGAGAGCCGGGGAATTTTTTCCCATTTAAGACAACAGGCTCTGCATTAATGGTCCCACATACACAGGTAAGACAGGAAAGACTCTGTAAGACCTTTCACAAGCTTGTCACCACAGTTCCACCCACTCAAAGCTGCTCAGGTTGATCACAAAGGTCTCACTGAAGAGAACAGTTACTCACTGTGACCTGAACTTCAAAGCTACCCATCACTCAGAAGCACTTCAACGTTTAACAACAAACACCAGCACTGCCACAAAAACAGCTCCACTTTATAAACAGGTAACATAAGCAAATTAAACCACTATGGGGCTGCTAGTTTTCTGCTAGAGCATTTTCAGGCTTCTATTTATAACACATGGGTAGCCAAGAATCCATCAGATTTCCTCCCCAAGGAGAGGTCAGTGTCTCCAGGTTTTACAGGGTACAGCTGTGAAACTTAATCACAGTTACATTCCCTACACGGGGAAGGGGGCCCAGACCCTTAAATCAAACCTTTCTCAGATTTTTTTTCTAAACCTACCAACGGTTTAAGCTCACACCAAAGATAAACCAAAAAGTTTTAACTGCAAGAAAAGCACTTAAGACGTCTGGGTCACCATAAAGGACTCCCATGCCCAATTTAGTTGTGTGTAGCCTTGGAGAGCCCTGAGTGACCCAAACACTGTCAGGATCTTTAACATCCCCCATCCGTGACCACAGCAGAGGTGATGGAGGGCTCTGCTGACAGCAACAGGCACTGTCCAAGGGTCTTCCTCCATCTCCCTTATTTGTTATTTTATGCACCCTACACCCCTGGGTACTTCGTGTTTTACTTCATTTCTTCTTGTCTTCTACAAATCCCCTCTTCCCTCTCACATCCTCCCACACTCCCTCACTGCTGTCCACACTTTCTCCTCCCTTAGCTGCCTCCTTCCCCCTTCACACCACAGAAATAGAACCAGTATATGAGATTTCTCCACTATTTTCCCCCCTGCTGCCCCACTCCATCAATACACTGCATTTCTCCACTATTTTCAACCTGCTATCTCACACAATTAACACTGAATTTCCCCAGTTTTCCCCCTGCTGCCCCACTCAATCAATACACTGGGTTTCTCCACTATTTTCCCCCTGCTGTCCCACTCAATCCCCCCTGCTCAGCGCCCTCCCGTCTCCCTCCTCCTCACCCGGAAAACCACGACTCCACCTCTCCGTGGACTCGGCTGTCCTACTCTTCCACGGGGGCACCCCTGCAACCCGACAGCTCCTTGTTTTCCTCGGGCGTTCTCGCTGCTCCAGAGTCTTTAACCACCCAACCCTCCCGCATCCTCCCGGCCGGGGTGTGTCCCCTTCTCCATCCCACTCTCCCACGCCGTCCCAGGGCACCAAACCCTCACCCACCCTCATCGGAGTCGCGGGCCCGGGCGCTGCGCTCGCCGTCCTCCTCCTCGGCGCTCTCCAGCTCCTCCTCCTCGTAGTAGTCGGGCGCGGGGGCCATGGCGGGGGCGGGCGGCCCCGGCGGGGCGGCGGGGGGAGCGGACACCAGCCCGGCCGCGCTCATGGCCGCGGGGGGCTCCGGGAGCGGCAGCGGCCGGGACGGACCGGGCGGAGCGGCCGCCGCTCGGCAACCGCGCCGGGAACCGCGGCCACGGCACTTCCGCTTCCGGGCGGCGCCGGGGCCGCCCCGCCCCCGCCCGGGCAGCGCGAGGCGCGGAGGGAGGGACGCGGGTTCGAGTCCCCGCCCCGCCAACACCGCGGTGGTTGAGGGTTTTATTTCTCTGCTTTTTATGGTTCGTCTCCCTTTTGGGGCACTTGTGTTGCAGGATTGTGGGCTTCTCGGGACGAGATACGTGGAGGTCCTGGAGCGAGCCCAGTGGAGGGTGAAAGTTGATCCAGGGACTGGAGCATCTCTGTTATGAGAGAGGCTGAGGGAGCTCTCATGGGTCTCTACAACTGCCTGAAAGGAGGTTGTAGTGAGGCGGGGGACAGTCTTTGCTATCGTGCCTGCAGTGAGAGGATCAGAGTAAATGGCCTTAATCTAAGACAGGGGAGATTTAGGTCAGATATTAGAAAAAAAAAAATCACTCTTAGGGCAATCAGGCACTGGAATAGGTTGCTCAGGGAGGTGGTGGAGTCACCATCCCTGGAGGTGTTCAAGAGGCATCTGGGCCTGGCACTGGGTGATATGGCTGTGGTGGTTTAGGGGTTATAGCAGCATTGCTGGGTGAACGGTTGGACTTGATGATCTTAAAGGTCTCTTCCAACCTTGATGATTCTGTGAGCTGGGCCTGCTCAGCCTCGAGAAGAGACAACTGAGAGGGGGTCCCGTCCATGTCTGTCAGTGTGTGCAGGGAGGGGTCAGGGGATGGACCAGCCTCTGCTCAGGGGGGGAGGCTCAGCAATGGGAGAAGAGGAACAGGCAGGAACTGATGCCCAGGAAGTTCCACCTGAACACAAAGAAGAACTTCTTCACTGTGGGGGTGACTGAGCACAGGAACAGGTTGCCCAGAGAGGGTGTGGAGTCACCCTCACTGGAGATATTCCAGCCATCAGGACACAATCCTGTGCCATGTGCTTTGGGATGCCCCTGCCTGAACAGGGAGGTTGGACCAGATGACCCACTGTGGTCCCTTCCAACCTGACCCATCCTGGGATTCTGTGGTACAGACACACGGCAGAGCTGCTCCTCAGCAGGCAAGGAGCAGGACCTTGCCGTGCTAGGAATGGACTTTTTAGGACACTTTGTACTCACCCAAACTTTATTATACTTTAATACAGAAATTGCTTCCCTGTTCCTCCATACTCACAGCAAAGCCCCACCACAGCACTGTGATCTCACTTTCACCCTGCCACTAAACAGCAGCTCCTAGAACACGTGCCCAAATCCATCAGGAATGCCCCAAATCTGCCAGGTACAGGTTATCCTCCTGACTAGACACTGTTACAGAATTAAGGACCAAGACACAGATCCTGTGTGAGACTCACACCGTTAAAACCAGGATCTGAAAATGCCTCACATGGATATTCCAGGCTAAATATCTCACCTATCTTCTGCAGCTCAAAGTCTAAGGGAAGGACTAATTAGTCTCCTTGCCTCCAGCACAGCCACACCAATGGCTCACCTTCAGCTGGGAGGTGCATTCCTCACATGCAGAGCTCATTGACTCACTGAGGCACTACGAGCACCTCACCGAGGGGAAGGAAATGGGTTTGGTCTAAAGGACGGAGCTCCAAAACCTGCAGCACTTCTCCAAACTCGCCGAGCCGGGCGCTCGGCACCCAGAGCAACACCAGGTCACACTCTGGTGTTCTGACAGGAGCTACCATAACGCAGTGCAGGCACTTGGCTCTCCTGCAGTTCACCCCAAAGGTCTGTTTGCCCAGACTGACAATTTTTAACTCGGAACGCCCATGCCAAGTATGCCCGGTGCCTTTTTCCATAAGTCAACATCGCCTGTAACAGGAGCCAGGCTGAGGCACGGCCAAAAGTCAGCACCACCCCGGAGCAGCTCCCAGGG